CGTCTCTAGTAAAAATACAAAATTAGCCAAGCATGGTGGTGCCTGTAATCCCAGCTACTCGGGAGGCTGAGGCAAGAGAATCGCTTGAACCTGGGAAGCAGAGGTTGCAGTGAGCCAATATCGTGCCATTGCACTCCAACCTGGGCAACAAGAACGAAACTCTATCTCAAAACAAAAACAAAACAAAACACACAAAAAACCATCAGATCTTGAAAGAACTCACTCGCTGTCACAAGAACAGCGCGGGAAAAACTGCCCCATGATTCAGTTATCTCCACCTGTTCTATCCCTTGACATGTGGAGATTATGGGGATTACAATTCAAGATGGCATTTTGGGTGAGGATACAACAAAACCAGATCAGGTGAATATAATATTTTGGCAAAAATAAAGAGTATCTTCTATAGCTGCGAAAATAATAGCAGTTATTATTGCAGAAATGGTGCACCATATGAAAGTTTTGAAAATTAAAGTGTATTCAAATAGTATCTTTCAAAAAGTGTGGACAATGCCATGCCAGCCACGAACTTTATTAGAGCATGACATTTTTTGGGTAGATTCCTCATAGATAGATATTAATAATATTCGGCAAAATGTTTCAAATGTTTTCTATTAAATTCCATTGGCTGTTTTCAGGTTAAGTGTGAGCACAAATAGAAATTTTCTCACAGAACCTGTAAAGTACATGTATGTGCTTTGGTCAAAAATAGGCTGAGGCGGATATCCAAGTCTTCAGGACTCAGCGAGTTTCGCGCACAGGCACATGCCTCCACTTGTTATATAACCTGTTTGTGTAAGTTCATACTTGGCTCTGAGCCATTACTGTCTACAGAAGGTATATTTGCCCTGCTAATACTGTATGGGGGCTCTTGGTGCTCAGCTTGATTCAACATGGCTGGACATGGCTCTTGTGCAGCTGCTCTTGCATCCAGAGAAAGAGAGAAAACCAAATCTGCCCGTCTTTGCAGACAGACAGAGGGGAGCCAGGACACAGCTCAACTCGCTTGTGCCCAGTGAGAGTAAGAGTTAAGCTGCTGACCCTGAAGGTAAGGGAGAGCTGGCTGCGCAGCTGTGTGTGGGAGCTGGACTAAGCAGCTGAGACCCGGCAGTGTGATAAAGCTGTTGATGAGAGCTGCTGCTGAATAAAATCATCGTTCACCTGCCTAAGGCCCCCTGAGTGTTCTTTCTGCTCACCCACCCACTCCCTTCGGACGTCAACATGACATTTGGCATAGTCGTGAAACTGACAGAACCCAAAACACATTTTTTAAAAAATCAAATATAACATTTTTTCTTGACGTTTTCAAAAGTTGAATATAATCAATGAGACAAATTCAAAATCTCTGTTAACATGTTTAAAATTTGATTTTAAATAGTGATGAAACTGAAATGTGAAATTTCTGCTGTAGGACCAAAACAGTAAAGAATACTTTGGAATGTAGACTGCCTGTCTAAAATATTGGGCACTGAACATCTATTATTTGTAGGAGGATTCTGTTAAATACTATGTTAAATTATGAAGCATACAAATCTCAACTCTTAGGGATAATTTGCATTCATGTGATCTCTTATGGATAGCTGATATGAATATAATTCAGCATAAATATATTTAAAGTGTATTTGAAATACACTGGCAATTTTCTGGATTTTCTATAGAAAGTTGAAAATTTATATACTCTATGATCCACCAATATATTCATAGAGGTGTAGCTCTATGGAGGAGTTAAGAATTCTAGGAGTTAAGAATATTCAAGTGTCTGTTCATAAGAGCAAACTTGAGACAATTCAGATATCAACAGGACAACGGATTCACACTATAGAATATTAAATAGTCCCAAAAAGAAATTTGCTACAGCTGTAAGCAACAGTGTGAATTAAATGTTATACCAATATTGAGGAAAGAAAACACAAATATAGAAAGACTACATATAATAGTCTTGTAATAAAATTAATGATAATAAACTAAATGATATTCTTTGAGGCATATACCAGGTGACCAAACAATACACAGATTTAGTTTATTTTAATTTTAGATTGGGGGGGTTGGCATGTTGGTGTGTTCTCACACTGCTATAAAGAAATACCTGAGAATGGGTACCTTAAAAGGAAGATAGGTTTAATTGGCTCAGTGTTCTCCAGGCTGTACAGAAAGCATGGCAGCATCTGGTCAGCTACTGGAGAGGCCTCCAGTAACTTTCAATCATAGTTGAAGGCAAAGGGGAAGCAGGCACATCTTACACGGTTGGAGCAGGAGGATGAAGGGGGTTGGGGGATACATGACACAAGCTTTTAAACAACTAGATCTCATGAGAACTCACTCACTAAACAGTACCAAGAGGGGATGGTGCTAACCCATTCGTGAGAACTCTGCCCCCATCATCCAATCACCTCCCACCAGGCCCCACTTCCAACACTGGGGATTACAATTCCACTGGCGACTTGGGCAGGGACACACATCCAAATAATAAATTAGGGGGTATGTTTGCAGTTTTATTACAGGAGTATATTGCATGATGCTGAGAGTTAGGCTTCTGTTGATCATATCACCCAGATGGTGAACATAGTACTCAATAAGAAGGTTTTCAGCCCTCCCCCACTTCCTTCCCCTTCTTCCTGCTTTTGGAGTCCCCAGTGTCTGTTGTTTCTATCTTTGTATCCCTGTATACCTAAGGTTTAGCTCCTACTGGGACATGCAATATTTTGTTTGCAGTTTCTGTGTTAATTCACTTAGGATAATGGCCTCCAGATGTACCCATGTTGCTGAAAAGGGTAAGGGCATGATTTCATTCTTTTCAATGGCTGTGCAGTATTTCACGGTGTATATGTGCCACATTTTCTTTATCCAATCTACCATTGATGAGCACCTAGGTTGATTCCTTCTCTTTGCTATTGCAAATAGTGCTGCAATAAACATATCAGTCCACTGGTCTTTTTGGTAGAACTAATTTTTTCTTTGAGCATATCCGCTGTAATAAGATTGCTGAGTCAAATGGTACTTCTATTTTTCCTTCTTGAGAAAGCTCCAAACTGCTTTCCACATTGGCTGAACTAATTTACATTCCTACCAACTGTGTATAAGCATTCGCTTTTCTTCACAGCCTCGCCAACATCTGTTATTTTTAAACTTTTAAACAAAAGCCATTCTGACTGGGGTGAGATGGTATCTCATTGTGGTTCTGATTTGCATTTCTCTGATGATTAATGATATGGAACATTTTTTCATATGCTTTTTGGGAACTTACAGGTCTTCTCAGAAGTGTCCATTCCTGTTCTTTGTCCACTCTTTAATAGGGTGTTTTATTCTTGTTAATTTGTTCTAGTTCCTTATCCATTCTGGAAATTAGACCTTTGTCAGATGCATAGTTTGCAAATATTATCTCCCATTCTGTAATCTGTGTGTTTATTCTGATGATAATTTCTTTATAAACAGAGTGTTTGAAGTTTACTCCTGGAATAAGTAAAATGCTTCTAGTGCCCAAAAAATAGCCTTTTCTTCCCCAGTGCAACTTTGGTTTAAACCGCATATATGAACTCAAGACTCTTGTCATTTAAGAGCCAATAATGGTAGACCTTCTGTATGATTTTCAGTAGGTTCTCTTGTAATCATGTCCCAGTGCCCTATAGCAGTGACTTTGATTATCTACCCATTAGGGCTCTCAGCTGTGGCAGATTAGCAGCTGTGGAAGAGAAAGTGTCCTTTTGTAAAGGAATAGCCATGTAAACGTGGTAAGGAGAAGATAACAGTCCTGCAAACAATAGCTACTGAAGAAATCTGCAAAATATCTAAAAGAAATGTTAGCAGGAAATGTTGAAAGATTTTTATTGAAAAAATATTAAGCTATATAAAAGCTGCCTGCACCCTGAATACATGGGAGATATATGGTCTTCCCATTCGGGCAGATGCAAGAGCAAAAAGAGAACAGTCCTTCCATAATTAAAATATAAAAACAAAATATTAAATTATAACTGTAATATAATTTTTTGCAAACAGTTTAAAAGAAATACTTTCATAGATCTTGCTAATTTAACTATACACTTATCTGAAGAAAATTCTCAAGAATAATTGAAGACATGTAAAACGCAGTGCAAAAAATTGTCTTACCAAGTAGCAAGGCATATTATAAACCCAGAATAATTAGAATACCATGGCATTGATATTCTAAATAGGCAAGTCAGTCATGAAACACAATAGATGTATTAATATAGATATATAATTTCATATATATGCAGTTTATCATAAAGATGGTATTTCAAGTCAATGATGAATAAAAGAGAAAAATAAATTATAGAAACATCAAAATGGTAAAGATAAAACAAGGCAAATCTTTAAACGTATTATAAGAAAATAAAAGAAATTCATTTAGAACATTGAGTTAGAAAAGACCCTTGTAAACAAATTACAAATGAAAGTTTTTCTCTTTATGGTAAAAATCATAAAGGAAACAAAAGTTAATTTGATATCAAGAAAACATGATTGAATATGCCAAAGTCACTATAAAATTAAAATTTGTGTTAAAACTTTAAAAGTATTTGATACTTGCATAAAATAAAGGATTGCTATTCACAGTTTATTTTAAAACCTACAAATACTTATAACCACAAAAATCCAATAGACCCAGGGGCCAAGTGTGGAGATAGGGAATTCAGAGGACAGGAAATCCAAATACTTCCAATACAGAGTCCAACCCACTCCCTGAGAGTTGGATGTTTGGAAACTACAACACAGGGATATCACTTTTTTGCCCACAACATTTGCAAAATTGAACAATATAAAAATTTACCATCGAATTTTGTTCACAATATAGGGAAACAGGCACTGTCATTTCTTGCGTGACAGATTGGTTCAGTCTTCAAAGGACAACTTAGCAGTATTTGCTGACATGATCAAAGCGCTTCTCTTTTGGTCCATCATCTCCACTTCTCAGTGACAAATCTTAAGACACATTCACATGGAAAAAACCCAAGATAGTCACATACTTTCTGTTGTATCTTTGTACTTAGAATTACAATATGGGAGAAAAGTACCTTGACATTCATCTTCAAGGGAATGGTGACACTACCCGACACCCCCGTTGTGACGTACGGTGCTGCATACTCCCCAGTGACCAGCCCTTCTAAATTCCAGACCGCTCAAAGGTAACCATGCTACAGTGTGGTGTATATCTTTCCAGAATTTTAAGTACAGCATTTCCAGAGTTTTAGTTGGAAATTATACATACATATGCATATATCTATGTTTATTTATATGAAATTTTGTATATGTACATATGTATATACATATTTATATATGGAAATGTATATATATAATACATAATTTTGCTTATATATGTTTTTCTGAACGTAAAATTTTACTAGATATGTTGTTTTTTACTTTGTAGTTTTTCACGTTTAATAGGTTTTAGAGAAATCTGTGTAATAACTCACAGAGCTTTTCCTAATTTTTATTCAGCTTGGTTTAAAAAACGTGAATTGATTATAAGGTATAGGAGAATGACCTATGCATGTGTATGCACATGTGTGTGTCTGTGCATACATGCATGTGTGCCCGTGTGTATATGAATCTATGTGTGTAACTGTGTACATGTCCACGTGCATGTGTGTGCATGAGTGTACGTGTGCTTATGTATATGTTGATTATTTTTAAATTATTAAACCAAACTTGAATTCCTCGGGTAAACTCAAATTGTCCATGTGCACTTTTACTTTTTGTTTGTCTGTTTTAACTTGCTGAGTTTGTTACTATTTGGTTTAAAATATTTTAATTCACATTCAAGAAAGAGATACTGGCCTGTGCCTTTCTTTTTAGCACTTTCCTTCCTGGTATTAGCAGTAATATTTCAAAAATCATTTTTTAAAAGTATTTTCTATATGGTATGACAGAGGCTTTGCTATGTTTACCTACTATCTGATATCCTTATTTGATCATGCTGCTCATTTGAAAAATAACATTAGTATACTTTTTCATTACATTTTATTAATAATAACAATGGTCCTAGAACCTTTATTTTGTGGAGATGTTATTTATTCATCTTCAACCCTAAGCACAAATTCTTTATTCTTGTGAATTCATTCATTCTGTGTGGCTTTAATAAGCTCTGTGTTAATGGGGTCTTATTGTTGAAACATGCACTGCTTTCAATGGTGAGGGGTAAAGGTGGAAAATAATTAGTATCTATTTTAGGTCTCAAGGTCTTTCAGTGACAGTAGGAAAAATGGGGAGCAAAACCAGAGTAATGAGGAGAGAACTTTGTCCAGAAGGGATGCTGACTTAATTAATTTACCCAAGCTCATCGGAAGAGTGGAAAATGGACTCAAGGGGCTTCTATTCCCACGCATGTATTTTAATTGCTAAGTATTGTATCGGACATTTTGCTTTTTCCCTGTTAAGAACTAATCTCATTATTTTTAATAAAGATGCTCTATAAACCTGAAGTAAAAAAAGAAACAGAATCATATAGTCAGCTTAATCCATCCATTCTTTTATTTAACTAAATGATAAACATTGGCAATAAAGGCATACTACATGACATAAAATGAGAAGAAAAACTCGTAAATAGACATTGTTCCAACAACCAAAATATTACTGTGTTTTCCAGGCTCATAGTGATTTCTAATTAAGCGCGTTTTTCATTAGTATTTTTGTAACTTTTTAAAGTAACAATATTTTCAATGTCATCATAGAGTATCATAACCAGAATATGGGCACTCATACAGCCAAATCCAGAAGAATTTCATAATCACGAGGGTCTTCCACGTTGCCGTTTTACTGACACACTCACTTCCTTCTTGCCACCAGCTCCTTCCTAATCCTGCCCACCATTAATCTGTTCTCCACTTCAATAATTTGGTTCCTTTAAGAATGTTATAGGCCGGGCGCGGTGGCTCAAGCCTGTAATCCCAGCACTTTGGGAGGCCGAGACGGGCGGATCACGAGGTCAGGAGATCGAGACCATCCTGGCTAACACGGTGAAACCCCGTCTCTACTAAAAAATACAAAAAACTAGCCGGGCGAGGTAGCGGGCGCCTGTAGTCCCAGCTACTCGGGAGGCTGAGGCAGGAGAATGGCGGGAACCCGGGAGGCGGAGCTTGCAGTGAGCTGAGATCCGGCCACTGCACTCCAGCCCGGGCGACAGAGCGAGACTCCGTCTCAAAAAAAAAAAAAAAAAAAGAATGTTATAGAACTGGAATCATACACTATGCAATCTTTTGGAAACAGCTTTTTTTTTTTTTTTACGCATGGCATAATTCTTTAGAGATTCATCCAGGTAGTGGTCTGCATCAGTAGTAAATTACTTTTTATCACTGAGCAGTATCCTAGTCTACGGTTGTGCGATATTTTGTTTAATATTTACCCATCAAAGGACAGTCGGGGAAGAGGAATAACTATGCCACTTCTATCTTTACAGATAGAAGTGTTTTCTTGCCCTTCCAAATGCCTTTTTTTCTTACGAAAAAGTAAGATTTTTCTGCTTTACTGTATTCTTAGTACTGCCTACTCTACTCTATCCATTTTATGAATTGCATGCACTCCGTTCCATTGTTTCCCTTGTTTATTTGCCACGGAAAGGTAAGTGCTGTCCAGGATGGTCTGCCAGAGCTATTTCTGCCTTGTTCTCCCCCATCCATCTTTGAAACTTAATTTTTGCTATTCTGTATCCCTGTAACAATGCATAAATATTTCTCTAATTTATCATCTGTAATTAGTTTCAACCATCATACACAGTGACTCTTAAATCTGTGATGGTTTTGGACAAGAATATTAGCACTCTTGCTTTCCCCGCTGCCTTTCCTCTCAAGCCACATTAAAAATTTGCTCACATCTGCCTTGATCAAGATTTCTAAGACTTAAATGTGGCTTGTAACCATAATCAAGTCTTCGTTTTTATTTCCTATAGATTAATTCTAGCATTTGAAAACAAAATTGCTTCTACATACTATGATGATGAAATAAGTAATATTTACTGAATACCATTCTCTTCAGCTGTGATATCAAAAACCTCATTTTGACAGAATTTCCATGATTTGGTTTATATTCCTTGATGAAAATTAAGTCAAGTTTTGGTTTGTAAAATCTCAGGATGTTGGTCCTCTTGTACTGTGTGTGGTGGGGAAGGGTGTTTTCCTGCCCTTTCAAATGCCTTTTTTCTTATGAAAAAGTAACATTTTTCTTCTTTACTGTATCCCTAGTGCTGCCCACTCTACTGTACCCATTGTATCAGTTGCACACACTCTGTTACGTTTTTTCCCTTGGAGATTTCCTTCATGAACTCACTAATGTCTTGTTCTAATTTGGGTCAGTTGTTTTCTCATCCAATCCAGAGTTGTCAATTTGAAGTTTTCTTTCTGATTGGGCATCTAGATTCTTACATTCTTCTAGAAGATTAACAAAATAGCCTATTTTTAAGTGTTTTCAGTCAGAAGACAGAGATTCAGACCGCAAGACTGAAAGTTACTTGCCCTGAATGTATTCCATTGAAGACAATGCTTCAAGTACCTTATGAAGATTAGTTAATTCCATCTTTCAGCCAAGTCTTTGGAGTATGCACCGTTGTTATCACTATTTTACAAATGAGGATTGTGAGGACCTGAGGTTTAAGTCTATGCCCCAGGCCATGTCATCATTAAATTTTAGAGCTGCATTTAAATGAGTTAGGCAGTTTAACTTCAAACATTACTCTCTTATTGACTATACTATAGCAAGTTCTAAATATTTTTGAGTCTCATTTCATTTGTAGAAAGCTATGATGATTATAATTATTGATATTAATGTAGGGTGAAAAGCCACATGTCAGGAGTGACCAGGGAGCAGATCCTGAACGTACAAGAAACAGCTGAAAGGTATGTGTTAAACCATATGCGAGGCCCAAGACAGCTGCATTGAAATTGCCAGGCACAGGCACGCTGGAATGGAAGCTTCTTGAAGGAAGGCAAGGAGGATGCTTTTCATGCTTGAGTCATCAGCACCATGAGCACTTGGCTTGATGCTGTGCACACAGTAGGTGCTCAGCGTGCATTAGTCATAGGAGTGAGTGAACAGCAGAGTCTGTTCCATACACTTCTGTAGCCCATCTTCCTCGCTCTATTCTTCTACTCTAAGCACAGCACTAGTCATATCATCGTGGTGTATTTAAGTAGGCATTTGATCTCTGTGGCAGGAAAATGATAGTTTCATTATAACCTAACAGTAGAAGTTCCTATATTAGAATGTGTAACTAGAGTAAAAACAGTGAAAATAAACATTCCTGGTAAGGCACATGGATAGGGCGGAATGAGTATAGACTTTGCTGTCAAAGAGTTGCTTGGTTAATACAATTACTCAAGTGCCTTCTGTGTGCCAGGCTTTGCTCTAGATTCTAAAAACAAGACAGAAGATAGCAAGCAAGGCACATTCAGCCTTGCCTATCTTTTCTCTCTGATGATTGTTTGCTTGCTTTTTAAATTTTGGCCCTGTTAATAGCTGTGTACTTCCATATGAGGAATATTATTCTAAGCCTCAATTTTTGTGTAAAATAGAGATATAAAAATACTTATCTCAAAGGATTTTTGTGAGCACTACAGAACTTATATATAGATCTATGGGAGAGAGAGAGAGCACTTGATGTGTAATAGATGTGATTTCTCTTCTTTCTCTTCTCTTTTTTTTTTTCCTTCACAGCTCATGGACAGCTCATACTGATCTCTTTTGCCATCTGAGCCCTAGCTTTCTTTGAAGACCACTCTCTATTTAATAAATGGTGCTGGGAGAACTGGCTAGCCATAGTCAGAAGAATAAAATTGGACCCCTACCTTTAACCATATACACAAGTAAGTTCAAGAAGGATTAATGACATAATGTAGGGCCTCGAATTATAAAAATCCCAGAGAATAACTCTTCTCGATATTTGCCCTGGCAAATAATTTTTGGCTAAATCCCCAAAAGCAATTGCAACAAGAACAAAAAATGGCCAGTGGGACCTAATTAAACTAAAAGTCTTCTGCACAGGAAAAGAAACTATAAATAAACAGACAACTTACAGAACGGGAGAAAATATTTGCAAACTAGGCAGCTGACAAAGCTATTCAGAATCTATAAGGAACTGAAATCAGCAAGAATAAAACAAATAACCCAATTTAAAAATGGGCAAAGGACACATGCAAACACTTCATAAAAGAAGACATAGTTGGCCGGGCGCGGTGGCTCACGCCTGGAATCCCAGCACTTTGGGAGGCCAAGGCAGGCAGATCACTTGAGGTCAGGAGTTCGAAAAGAAGACATACAAGTGGCCCCAAAATAGGAAAAAAAATGTTCATTATTAATCACAGAGAAACACAAATCAAAACCGTAATGAAATACCGTCTCACACCAGTCAGAATGGATATTACTAAAAAGTCAAAAACCAAAGATGCTTGTGAGGCTGCAGAGAAAAAGGAATGCTTATACGCTGTTGGAGGGAATGTAAATTAATTCAGCCAATGTGGAAAGCGGTTTGGAGATTTTTCAAAGAACTTAAAATAGAGCTACCATTTGACCCAGCAATCCCATTACTGGGTATCCACTCAAAGGAACATAAACCATTGTAACAAATTGACACATGCACTCATCTGTTCACCGTGGCACTATTCACAATAGCAAAGACATGGAATCAATCTAGGTGCCCATCAGCTTGGGACTGAATAAAGAAAATGTGGTACATCTACACCACAAAATACTATGCAGCCATAAAAGAGAATGAAACAATGTCCTCTGCAGCAACATAAATGGACCTGGAGGCCAAAATTCTAAAGGAGCTAACACAGAAACAGAAAACCAAATACTGCAGTGTTCTCAGTTCTAAGCGAGGCATACATGGACATAAAAATGGGTACAATAGACATCAGGGACTACTGGAGGAGGGAGGGGGGATACTATGATAGGGGGTGTTCTAGGCTCATTACTTAGGGGCAGTATATCCATGTAAAAAATCTGCACTTGTACCTCCATATCTAAAATCCAAATTGAAATACAAAAAATAAAGGTCACTCAATGTACAGCATCAATTCTTGGACCACAATGTGGCCATCTGTGTTCCTAAAGACCTGTAAATGACTTCTAAGCTTTCTGATCATCTTCATTGCTAGTGATCTCCTAGCCCTGCAGGGGAGTACCTGGTGTCACATTCAAGGCTCAATGCCCACTGGGTTCACCCAAGAGTGATTTATGTGTTAGTTTCTCCCTACTTCCTTGTGCCATTCTGGATAGCTTCTTCAGATGGTAATTATTTCCCACTCCATCCAAGGCCCCATTAAAGACAGAACGCTGGAGATGAAAAGCTCCGGATCACACTGGCAGACTCTACTTCAGCCATAAACTCTGGAACTTGACAGCTACGATGGGTCTCTTCATGTTGCTTCCCCAGACTTAATGATGTCTTTAACATCTCCTACCTGAAGGCATCACCCATCATGCCACTGAGATGCACGGCCATATTTCAGTTAATTTAGCTCATTTGCTAGTTTGTAAAGAAACACAGTTCATACAATAAGTTGTGCATCTCTTATTTTTTGGCAGGTCAGTTTTGAAATGATAACTGTTGTGATTGATGTGCTCTAAATAACAAGAGAAAAACAGTTCATGTTGAAACACCCATATGCTGAGGTGATAAGCATATGTTCCAATTTGGAGCCAAGAGAAATGCAAAAAAACACAGTTTAAGCAAATCTTAGTTCTTGACAAACACTCACAGGGTATTTCAGTGAAGAAATATGCATGTAGCTCAGGGAATTCAGAAATTGTCTAGCTCAGGGTGGAAATGACACCTTTACAATCAGAGTTTCTTCACTACAGTGAGTTCGTTCCTTCTGTGATCAGGGTTGAGTCCTGGACTTCCCCATCAGTAGACTGATGCTGCTCATCCACGTAGGCGAGCACTACGAGGACAGAACGGGCTTCCTCACTACATCACACTAGAGCCACCATCTGGAGGTGGTCACATGGGAGAATTTGCTTCAGTAAGTGGAGTGTAATGGAACAGGGCTGTTGATGGCCATCTGTCCGTTTATAGGAAGTGTGGGCTCAAAAGTAGAAGAGGAGGTTGGCCGCCATGCTGCTTGACTTATTTTACATCCATCATTCGTTAACCGTGGCCACATTATGGGCAATTTATTTTGTTTCTTAGCACATCTGTTATTATTATTATTTATTCCTAATCATAGGTACACAATACTTATTGTTTCATGAAGATAAGCTTGGCTTTGCCCTGCAGTTTATAGCAATTACGTTTTGGTCAGGCTCATCCAATGACTGAGTCAGTCTCTGTGTCTTTAAGGTCTTCAGGCGATTCCTGTGCTCAGCAGAGTTGGGAATCATTGGAGAATGGGGAGGAGCCGCATGGTCACCGCCCCCAATGTCATCTGTTGCCCAGAAGATGAGACCTCCAGAGGCTGCCACTTTGCAGAGGGGCTTGGGGACATCCTCTTTCTGTCATGCTCTGCTTCAGCCGCAGCTGGCCTCTGCTTCAGGTGTGGCCTTGGCACCTGCTGGTCATTCTGGAGTCACAGTTCATCCACATGCAGCCACCTTCCTGCCATACTGGCTTTCCTCCCCTCTGAGGCTGCCTCTGTGCTTCCCACTGTGAGGGCCAGGCACACTCGGCCTCTCTCTTCAAAGGCTTACACCCTCTGAGACCTCAGGGATTTTATGAAGCCTCCTTGTCTTGTCTGCAGCTGCCAGGGGACCCGTGTCAGAGACTTGCCTTCCTGGACCTCTTGCAGGCTGCATTCTCTACTCCTAGTCCTGGATTTTAAATAACCACTTCCTGGTCCTGGATCTTAAGCCTCCAGAACGTCTTCCCTGGGGGCTTAGGCATAACAGACGTAGCCCCCCAAGCAAGCATAGATCTAGCTGGCATCTTCCCAAACTTCTTTGTTTCCAACCTATAATTCTGTTCAGGTTGGAGAAGTCTGATTCTGTTGTCTTGGGTCCCCTCTCAGGTCTCCCACACCCCTGAGTAGATGCTAACTGGAGCTGGTCCCCCACCTGAGCCTGCCTGCAGTATATGTCAGTTTCCGCCTCTCAACTGCATTCAGGAGGTCATAGGGGAGAAGTAACAGGCATGGGCATTATTCTCTTAAACGTGGCTTCCTCTATGCAAATGAGACCAGCTGCCTGCAGTGCCTGCCGCACACGGGGCTCACTCTGCCAAGCGTGATTTGTGAACTGTCGCTGAAATCAGTCCAGTGCATCTTGGGTTTTTAAGTGGTCCTGGATGTGGGGATGTGTAGCAGGTGGGAGGAACGACAGAGACAAGACCAGAGGGCAGTGGCTTCTGCCAAGGACTGCATCTGTCTGGTTCCTTCCTGGGTGCATGGCGCTTGGACCGCCTGCTTTGAAGACACTGCCATCATAACAACAGCATGGATGAAGCCAACCTCATTCACGTATCCACTGTGTCGCATCTTCATGAATAACCGTCTAAGCCGGGAAAGCAAAGGAGTTATTTTACAGAGAGACTGCCACCTAAAAGGTCTTTGATACTCCATTAAGTTTGCAGTCCTTCAAGTGAATAGTGGCCTATTAGCAGACTTTGCAGACAGGGTTCATTTCCGACATGGCACTGGACACCTGCTATCTCAGAGTCCAGGTATGAGTGTGCAGGTGTGTGAGTGCCTGTACCCCTGGGGGAGATTGTGTGTGTACTGGAACAGATGCTGGACACAGGGGATCCCCCTTATGGTTGGGACAAGCCTGGAAACCTTATTTTAAAGCAGCACAAACCATCTACTTCCTTAGAGCAGGGAGCTTTCTTTAAGCTGCCATGGCTTGACCAAACTGCCTCAGGTGCTGCCTTGGGACCTGCTGGGCTCCCAAGACCCAGGACCTGGAAGCAGTCATGTAAAATCCAGGACTAGGAGTAGAGAAAGTCGCCCACAGGAGGTTCAGGAAGGCAAAAATCTCTCTCCACATCTTCTAACCCCACAGGTATGGCTTCCATTTAAAAATCGCAGTGGGGGGCCAGTTGTGGTGGCTCACGCCTGTAATCCCAGAACTTTGGGAGGCCAAGGCAGGCAGATCATGAGGTCAGGAGATCAAGACCTTCCTGGCCAATATGGTGAAAACCTGTCTCTACTAAAAATACAAAAAATTAGCTCGGTGCGGTGGCACGTGCCTGTAATTCCAGCTACTGGGGAGGCCAAGGCAGGAGAATCGCTTGAACCAGGGAGTGGGAGGTTGCATTGAGCCAAGATCACACCTGGTTACAGAGCGAGACTCTGGCTAAATAAAAAATAATAATAAAAGAAACGTCATAGAGAGGGCTGGGCACAGTGGCTCATGCCCAGCATTTTGGGAGACTGAGGCAGGAGAATCACTTGACCCTGGGATGCAGAGCTTTCAGTGAGCTGAAATCATACCCCTGCACTCCAGCCTGGGTGACAGAGTGAGACTTTGTCTTAAAAAAAGAAAAAAAAAAAAATCACAGTGGGGTATGCCAATCATATTCTACCTAATAATGTAACTAAACTTTTTAACTATATCAGGCATGCGATTTCACCCCCATAACATTCCATAGACATATTTTCTTGCATAACATTCAGCATGGAGTCTGACTCCTCATCTTTGGTGACAGGTGGAAATTGAATGTTTACTCTCAGCCACAAATAGAACTGGATAAACTGATCGTCTGCAGCGGCCCCAGGCAGTGTCCTTGAGGACAGTCTCTCTGAAGACCCTCTGCTCCCTGCCCCGCCCCCGGCGTGCTTTGTCTTTCTTCTGTCTTTACATAGCTGCCTTCACTTGTCCCCTGCCTTTGCTGTAAATCTGCTTTGTGCAGCACAGCTAAATTATTTATTGTGTCTTCTGAGTAAAGTTTGCATAAACCAAATTTGCTAGAGTGACCTTCCGGTCTACCACCTGGCCCTCCAGATCACCCTACCCCAGTTTAAAGGCCTGGACAAGCTTCCTAGAGAACTCTAACACAATTCTCCAGG